GGGTAGAGTTTATAGTCATGAACGAATAACTACAATTAAATTAATAATTGGAGTTAAGGTAATAGAATTAGTCCCTTTGGTTATTGAGTTATAACCTAAAACTGTTCTTTAATGTTAGTAAAGTTTCGAGGCAAATCTTACGAGGGTAGGTCTTAATTTTTACTCCCTTAAACAAGGAGCGTTTTCACATAACTTGAGTACTTTATATTTTTGCACTTTAGTTTCAATTTGTGTCAAAATAGTTTAGTCAAAGTACCAGGTTCTTTGACTCGCAAAAATCGGGCAAGACACAATTCACCTTACTCTTGTGTCTAGGTGCACCCTAAAATAATAATTGGTTTCAGAACAAATTTTTTCAATGTAAGGCTAACACCTTAAAATAATCCAAGATATTTGCACTATAGGCGTTTAAGAAGGATAATCAAGCACAAGTCCACCACTGCTTAACAGAAAGTATTATGGATGGTGAAAAGAAAGGATGCAAGATTTTCTAAAAGGCAAAATTTAGAGCTCTAGGACATTTTTCAGAAAATTCCTAAGGTTCCTATGGCAAAAGTTGACAAGGGTATAGTAACTGGCCATAAAGTCCGAGAGCAGCATAATGATGAAGATGTCAAGGCTGTTAAGAAGAATATCAAGGCCAAAAGATCTTAATCTGTAGTATTGTACTTGATGAGTACACTCGAATATCTGCACACAATAATGCTAAGAAAATTTGGGATGCCTTACAGACTGCTCATGAAGGAACAATTAGGTCAAACAATCTAAGGTTGACATGCTCACAAGGAATTATGAACTTTTCAAGATAAAGGAGGGCAAAACTATTCAAACTTAAAGACCTATAAGTTGAAGAAGCATGACATGTATGTTCTGTTTTGGGTCTAGGCCTACACAAATTTGTCTTTTGGTACGCTATCTCGAGCCCAAAAATCATGCGTACCGTGTGAACTTAACTCATGCCTTATATTGCTCTTCATTTTTCTCTCCTATTCAGACTTGGGAGTTGCCTAAGGTGACATGTGCACACCTTCTTCAGAAACTTGCCAACGTAGAAGCTTGCCAGTCCTGCCTTACCCGCCCTCGTCAGCCCGCCAGAGGCACCACAACTGAGTTAAGGAAAATTACTCCTAATAAAGTGAACGAGCAGAAGAAGGACCTAGTTCTTGGATCAAAATGCCAAAGAAAAGAGCAAACAAGATTGTAAAAAAAGGCTATAGGTGCTATGAGCAATACCTGTAGTTATGAATCTGATGATGCTAGTGATGATGAAGATCAGTCCTTGATGGCCAAGGAAGAATCTGACTCAGACAAAGAAGACATTTTTGCATTTATGACCAATTTTATTTTAGATGTAAATGATGACCAAACTTAGGTAAATTTTGACAAAAAAGAAAAGATTCATACCTTCTCTAAAAAAAATATTTTTTTTGTCTTATATCTGAATTGATGTATATCATAATTTTTGTGCTAAGGGAAAGAGTCATGCTAGTGAGATTCAGGAAAATCTGGAGAGTGAATTGAAAAAGATTAAAAGTGATTTAATTTCTCTACTATGAAAAAAATTGGGTGCTTCAAGAGAATCTGAACAAGACTAAGTATGAATTTAGATGTACTATGAGATAGACCAGATGGTAAGCAACCCCACTTCCAACCGAGAGGTTGTGAGTTCGAGTCTCCCCAAGAGCAAGGTGGGAAGTTCTTGGAGGGAAGGATGCCGAGAGTCTATTTGGAAACAGTCTCTCTACCCTAGGGTAGGGGTAAGGTCTGCGTACACACTACCCTCCCCAGACCCCACTAAGTGGGATTATACTGGGTTGTTGTTGTTGTTGTTGTATGAGATAGACCAGATCCTCAGATTACCTTGCATGCAAACCACAATAGCAATAGAAAGGGACTAGGACATAAAAAAAGTCAAGATCCTGTATAACTCATAAAATAATTATATTTTTATTCATAAAAATTATTTATACACACACTTATGGTAATAACAAGAACTTCAAAGATACACGCACAATTAAGTTTAAAGTAATTCAAAAAAAAAAAAGGAAATATATCGAGACACGAAAAAATATTAAACCATCAAGAATATGTTGTATATGGATAGTGCCTGCTCTAAACACATAACGAGAAATAGAGAAATTTTCCCTCATTGATAAACCATCAAAGAGGGGGTGGGAGATTTAGTAATGATGTAAAAGAGATATTATTGGTATAAGTAAGATTGGTAAGTCCCAATCCCATGCAATAAAAAGTGTATATTATGTTAAAGGTCTAAAATACAACTTGTTGAATGTACCTCAAATGTGTGATAAAGGAAATCATGTTCTGTTTACCTCAAGTGTATGCACTATCACTAATCTTAATTCTAGAAACCTGGTTCTTAAAGAAAAAATGCACAAAAATATTTACAAAGCTAAATTATGTCTTTCCTGTAAATAGACTAATATAGCAAAGTGTACATGATAATGATTCATTGTTATTGCACAAAAAACTAGGATATGCAAGTTTTTCCTGTACGAAAAATAGGACCTTAGAGGATATGAAAATAACAATGCTAATTACTAATGGTCTTCCTAAAGTCCTCTAAGCTGTGATTGTAAAACGGCTTTCAACATAATTGATAGGTGCATGACGAGACCTTTGCTTGAGCCACGTAAATCAACCCCAAAGCTAAAGGAGCCCTTTTAGGATGAGGTTGATGCTTTTATAAGCCTTGATCGGAGCCTGGTTTGGGATCGAGAATTTTCCCTCTAATATAAAAATTACGAGTAGAAGGGCTCAGCCCAGAAGTTTTTCCTAGAGGTGAAAGGGGAAGGGGCAAGACCCTATATGAGTTACTTTAGGGCCTTAAGCCTAATATAATTCACTTAAGAGCATCTCGTAGTAAGTGTTTTGTGTATAGTATTAAAAAACCTACTCTTTGAAAGTTTGATGAAAAAAGTGACGAGGGTGTCTCCCTAAGATGCTCTTCCCATAGTAAGGCTTACAAAATATGTAACAAAAGAACCTTGTGTGATGAACAAAGTGGACATGCGATTTTTTATAAAACTGATCACGTGGTTGAGAAAAGTTTGCAGGATAATGATGATGGTGAAATTGGACCGATTACTACGAGTACATGCCCATCTAGTGCAGTGGTTTAGAAGCAAGCTACCTTGACTATCTTTCAAATTTGTAAAAAAATTTACTAATCAAAGCCCATAACGCTAGACTGCTCTACACTCATCCACACTATGGTGACCCTGAAGCAATCTTCTTCTAGTTGCGGGACGAACAGCCAATTGATGGATCTGAGTAACCGACCCAATAATAAGCTCAATTCTTCCATAATATAAGGGTGCGGGCTTGCGCTTGAGCCGAATGACGTAGGTGCACAGTTGTACTTTGCGGCACAACTATCTCCTTTTTATAGGTTCTATAGATCGATGCCTGCTGCTTCATCTTCGAAAAAAGAAATCTAGGCTAGAGTTTATAGTGTTAAAAAGGGTAGCTATAATCCGATTAATTGTAGGAGTAGGTAATAAAGTTATTCTCTTTGGTTATTGAGTTGTACGGAAAATTGCCTTTTGAAGTTAGTGAAGTTTTGAGATAAATCCTACGAGGATAGGTAGTGATTTTTACTCCCTTGAGTAAGGATATTTTTCACGTAAAACTGCTTGAGTACTTTATATTTTCATATTTCACTGTCAATTTTTGTCAGAATAGTTCAATCAAAGAATAAAATTTTATGACTCGCAAAAATCGAGCAAGACACAATTCATCCTCCTCTTGTGTCTAAGTGCACCTTAAAATAACAGGTATAAAACCTTATTGGATAGATAGTAATTCTTTTGCGAAATGCTTATTTATCTTCTTATACATATTTATTTGATATTGCATTTTTATTTCCTCTTTCTTATATATTCCAATTATAGAAGCGCTTAGAAAAGTGAACAACTCGAGTTTCAACGGAACCCCTCGAAGAAGGTTAAATTAAGGCTTGTTTGCAAGGTTTTTTAAAATTTATTTAACTAATTCACCCTTAAAAAATGATTATTATATATTTACTGATTCGATGTAAATATTAAGTAGACATTTACGGGACTGCCAAAGCGAGGTAAAAAAAATTACTCGTATGTATTATTTAAAAATTTCTCCCATTAAATAATTACACATCACAGTTTTGTTCATTACGTAATTGTATATCTCATATGTATACAATAATAACAATAGTTGAATCGCACTATTAAGGTAAATATAATATGTGAATGGTATACCCCAAAAGCATACAACGTGCATATATGCTAGGTATGATTTTTTTCCTAAATAAGTATGTAATATTATAAAATATATATCTTCGAATAATTATTTTTGGTTGTATGGGCATTTTCATATCATCATAAGTAGTTCGAATTTTATTTCATATACTCTTAATTCACCATAGCAATTCATCGGAGGAGCATTATTACCGCAATATTTTTTAGAAAAACTATAAAAGTATAAAATAATAAGATATATAAGAAAACAACATAATAGGCGAAAAGATACAAGAGATATTGAAACATAACACAAAATAGAATTGATTCATAAATACTTTTTTCAAAGTAAAATTTATAATAAAATACAAATTCAAACTTTTAAATAATTTTTACTTTACCTTAACTTTGCCTCTCTACTCCTTCGGGTAGGAGTAAAGTCTGCGTACACACTGCCCTCCCCAGACCCCATTAGTGGGATTTCACTGGATCGTCGTTGTTGTTGTTCTTGTTTACCTTAACTTTGAACACTCTATTTTATTTTAACTCCAACCAAATATTGTCCAAATACCTACTTAAAATAATATAAACCAACAAGGAGTTAAATTTTATAACAATCATTGGGGCTATATGATAGTTTTTGAAACTTGAGGTGGTTGTATGTTCCGAGCTCAGTGCAAAAGGGACCAAACTGATATATCACTTTAATTTCTTATGAATATATTTTTGAACAAAATTGTATGGAGAAGAAGAGGAAAAAGAAAAGTAATTCTGAAACAATGAATCAAGAATCTTCCCAGTTGTCATGAATTAACCTTTTCTCTGTCAAAAATAATCAAATATAAGACAACCCAATTCAACCCAAAAGCCATTTTTGCCTTTATCATTCTATTTTTCTGGGTAAAAAAGGAGATGAAGAAGCAGAACATAGCCATGGAAACTGAAGAGTTTTTGGATATGACTGTGAAAATCATAACAAAGATGGGTCCTTTATTTCAGTGTCAAAGAGCAAATTTTGCTTTACTAGAAGTGAAAATGGTTGAGGTTTTACAGAGGAATTACAAATTTCAACTCAAACAATTCTTGGCAGCTTTTTTCTGGTAAAGTTATAATCTGTACTTCTCTTTTGTTTGAACTTCTCTATGACTGAAAATGATATTAATACATCCCCCTTTTGCAGCTTGTGCATATATTATCATCTGTGATCTTTTTCTTTAATTATAGAGTTTAATTTGTGTAGTTTGGGAGAAAATTGAGTTTGGGAGAAGGGTTGATTTTTGAGTATTTTAATTTTATCAGACTCAAGTGCATAATCAAGTCACTATTAGTTAAAGTAATACACACTCTCTGCTTTCCTTGTCATATACTATAATTAATTAGTGTTTTATATGTACTGCTCGGACTCTCCAAAAATGTTGCCGCATCCGTATCTGGTCCCCCAAAATGCACTACTTTTGGAGGAACCGACATGCATCCGACAACATTTTTGAAGAGTCCGAGCAACAACTTTAGTAGTAGTCCATCTATGTTGCTTCGTCATTGAAGTAATAAACAATTTGCTTTAATGGAAGATTATATAGTACTCAACTAGTGCCAAGGCTTTATCACTCCAACAATCAATTTTACTTTTCTGGACTAGGTGCTTAATTGAGTTGATCATTTAAGTCGAGTCTCTTATAAATTTCTTTTTGTCAGCTCATACAGTTATTCTCTGGAGTGTAGAGCTCTTCGCTTAGTATTTCAATCCCTACTATGTTGTGGTTTGTGATTTTCTCTAGATGACCTTGACTCTTCTTTAAGTGTGGCATTTCCTGTAGCCTATCGTCGACTTACTTTAGAGTCTGGTGTCGCCAATTAGTGAGAAGACCTAGATCACCAAATATGACATTCTTAAGGGTATAGCAACAACCATTGATAGGGATGAACATTTCCGATACATTTGTTGGGTGATTATAACCACAAAAATGCAGATGAAGTACATGGTTGATGGGCCCATCTGGCATGAATATTATCTCAGTATTTGCAATTAGCCAAATACTGAAGTTCAGTATTTGCAAATACTAGTTTGGCCATGAGTATTTACAAATATTGAACTTCTGTATTTGAATTTCAAGTGAAATATTGGAATACTGATTGGAAGGTGTATTTCAAGTGAAATATTGGTTCCCACAAATCTTCAAGTTTCACAAATTCTTTTTCCAAGTCAAATTCATGTCCATAACAATTTGAAATTCCTGAAACTTTTTTCAACTGAATATACTCGTTTTTCATCAACTTCAACGCAAATATTATCCATACATCTGTAGAGAAACCTGTTACAGAGATCTTCTAGATCGAACAGCTTAGAACATATATAAGTGTACTTCCTAGCATTGCATCTCGCATTGTCTCAAGTAGGTTGAAATTCCTATGATGTTACTATCCGCCGCAATCTCTGGAGCCCAGAGGCAGTTGATGTTCTGACAAACTTCGGTTCGACTTTTTTCTGCAGCTTTTAAACCAACGAAGCGTAGCAGATCTTTTTTGTTGGGTAATACACCTTTAAGTGCAGTGAAAAGTCAGTTGCTAATGTCATCAATAATCACTCCTCATTTCAATTAGAACTTGGTATTGATGTGTTTAGAAGATCTAGAATTGATGAATGAGGAAAAGTCCATTGAGTTTACAGTCTCTTTATGAAGTGATGCCCCAAAGGAAAACTTATTTCCTTTATCTGATACCTGNAATGAGGAAAAGTCCATTGAGTTTACAGTCTCTTTATGAAGTGATGCCCCAAAGGAAAAGTTATTTCCTTTACCTGATACCTGATACCTGTTGCTGGTAGGAGGTAGCAGGTATCCCGTAGAATTAGTCGAGGTGTGCGCAAGCTGGTCCGGACACCACGGTTGTCAAAAGAAAAGAAGGAAAAGTTATTTCCTTCTTGAATGGATGTCGGCGAGGGTGAATTTTGAACCTCGATTCCCTGTTAAATTGATGTTGCCTCTCCTTATTGAGTAATGAGTAGTTATTGGAGTTTTCCAATTTTGCAAGGTAACAAACTTTATCTTTATCTGCATTTAATAGGAAAGCCCTTCAATGTTGGCCATTTTGTCTTCTTCTTCATTTTGAGGTTTTTGGGGCTGATTTGAATTTCATATTGTAATCTAATTTTAATAATAGTGATTGGAATTGACTTCTGTCCTTTCTTTTGTGTTTGGGGGTCCAAAACCTCTTGTTCTTTCCTTCTTAAATTCTACCACAAACTCTCGATACTTTCCTGGTGGATTAGTCGGGTGCGTGCAAGCCTGCTCAAATGGCCACCGTTAAGAAAGAATATCAGAATCTCTATACTTAACATGCAATTTGGAAAAGTTTTCTTAAACTTAATAATCCATGGAAGGAAATAGTTGTCAAAAGTCAAAACGTACTTAAATTCCTATCCATCTCATTTTGAAAAAAATATTAGTCTTCATTGAAAAGTGAAGAAAATTGGTAACGTAGGGAAGATAACTGTTGTTACTAGTGAAAGAAGCTGGAAACTCCCGACATGTGAAATGGCAATTGAGTCGGCTACATTTTTTTTCTTGAATTGATTTTGTGATAAGCTAAGATGCTCGGACACAGGTGCGGGTGTCCGACACGGGTGAGGATCTAGAGGTCGGATCCTTCGAGATGTAGTATGGATCCTACAGGGATACGGGTGCAACGATCCAACTAAAAATAATTCAAAAAAATAAAAATATAAAAATATCTCTAAATTCTGAGAAATTTTGTGGAATACTTACATATAGCTTGTAAAGTATGGATTTTCTTTTTATTCTCAAGTTGTAGATAAGTAAATGATCGATTTCCTAGATAAGATATGCTATATTCTTCAAATTTACCCTAGTTTTGGTTATGATTTTGGGGATCAAATTGTATCTCGTCTCGAATTTTTTCTTCCGTCATGGTCAAAGTACCCAAAATTGTTTGACTAGATCCGATACGGATCTCATACCTATGTCTATACTAGTGTCGTATCGACACGGGTGCAGCACCTAAACTGCCGTGTCAGAGCAACTTAGGTGATAAGTAGGCCTTTTAGGACTAAATATTAATTTGCTAACTCATTATCTCCGCATAATGGTCACTAAAGAGTCCTCCGTTAACTGTTTGGGAGAAAAATTTAAATTATTTGTTGTTATAAATTTCTTTCCAATTTTTGAAGGATCTCCCCCTTCAAAATTCAAATATGATTACCATTTTTTTCTTCGGGATATCTATAAAATTTGACCTCTTAAGGTTCAAGAAAGGACAACGGTAAGAAAAATCTTAGAAGAGGCGAGCCTCCACGACAACTCAGAAGGTGGTTCGCTTATTTCTCTTTGCCAAGTAATGTTTCCTATTGCTTTTTGTTGTATAGTTGAATATCAAAAATTGAGAAGTCATTGATCTTATTTTATGTGACTAGGGTGCAAAAATGGAAGGAAAGGGGAAACAGGATAGCACTGCCAATGTGACGAATGTGAACAAGAATTGTCCGGACGTTGGAGTCATCCCTAAACAGGAAGTGCTGGTTGATGATCAGCTCTCTGGTGCGGATGAAGGGCTGATAATTCATTATCTTGACAAGAAAATGATGGACCAGCCCTTTCCCAATTACACTATTCATGAAGTCGACGTCTTCTTGTACCATCCTCATCAGCTTTCTCGTATAGTTCTCTCTCTCTGTGCGTGTGTGTGTGTGTGTGTGTGTGTGTGTGTGCGTGTGGGGGGGGGGGGTTACTGTTTTCTGGTCAATATCCTTCTTTTCTGAATGTTCATCATGTGAAAGGTGTTTTTTTCCCAATTTAATTTGTGGATCCGTGGTATCAAACATGCTCTGCTTTCATCCTTCTGCTTTAAGTGAAAGTGCTTGAGGAAGCGTTGGTCTTATACGATGAATAGCTATCTGACAAATCTGAGCAACTTCAGTTATTAGATTGTTGCTCTTAGGGTGCGCTTGGTACGAAGGAAAATATTTTTTGGAAAATGTTTTTTAATTTTCTCATGTTTGATTAGCTTAAATGTTTTGAAAAATATTTTCCTCATGTACTCATTTTCCTCAGAGGAAGAAAAATGTTTTCCAAACTTTTTTTTCAACCTACCCTACCCTATCCCCNTACTCACTAACCAAACACTATAAAATATTTTCGAAAAAAGTTTTTCACTCATCGACCATACATGGCAAAATAAGTGATAAACTGCTCATTTTCGAGAAAAACATTTTCCGCCATACCAAACACACCCTTAAAAGTGTAAACATTTGGAAAGACCAACTTTTCTCCGAATTCAGAAAATCTTTTTTCTTGCAATGCATGATGTATCACGTTAAGAGGATCTATTTGGAGCAACAAAGAAAATGTATCATGGAGCTCTAGTTACAAGCATATGATTGTCTTAGATCCCATACAAGTTTTAGGTTATGAATATTTATTTATTCCATTAGCCGTAATAGGAAATCCCAAAGTTAAGGTTAGACCTGGCAATGGTTTTTCATTTCTTTTTTCTTGTTTTTGTTAAATATCCATGTCTTCTTTGACCACATATGGATGTGATGGATTGAGAAGCTTGTTGCTGTTGTCTCTTATAGTAGCAAAATCAAGAATTATTTTTACATCTCCAATCTTATTAGTGTCATTGTCGATCTCAGTCGTGGTGAAAAAGCTAGTTTCATTTTGACAGAGATGCACCATCCATCTCAAGCGAAAAAATGGTACTTTGTGAGCCCAGCAAGCAACAAATATACAGAGGGAGGTCAATCTAACAGGGTTAGCGTGAACGATGATGGATATTGGGAACCTTGTGGAACCGATTCTCTCATCCACAAGGATGGTAAACTGATTGGATACCGAAAGACACTAAACTACATTGAGGGGAAGCATGATAAGGATATGAAGAGGACTGAATGGCTAATGCATGAATACAGACTGGAAGGAAGCAGAGACATGCAGGTACGGTGTTGTTAAACTTATTCTAATTAAGTCATAGTAAGACATATACTTATTTGCAAGAGTTGGGAGTTTAAATGGGTTGCAGCTCTATGGTTTCTTATGGACATCACACAAGGTATAAGAATCTAGAATTGGATGAACGTCAATGGACATCTCCTGTTATAATTAAATTAGCAGATGCATGTACCTGTTTCATTTGCACGAGATCTAGTTCCAAGAAGCCGATGCACAACTACTCTTCACAGAGTTGGCGTACTAGTGGGAGAAACTAATTTAAAATTCCGTTTTGGTTTCTGCATTTCATTTGAAGATTTGATTATAGATTGGTACTAATGTGTTTTGATTTTCTTCCCATTGTAAAAGCGGGTATTTTGCAAGTTATTCAAGTCGAATAACAAGCTCATGGAAGCAGAGGAGAAGGAAGCGACCAAATTTGCTGCTCCAAATGATGGGGTATCTAGCGCGGACCCCACAATTCAAGGTAGTAATTAGTTTTTGAGGAACTCCTCCAATTTCTTGATCAGCAGTGTGGTATATTTTTCAGCTATTGATGGAGCTAATGCGAAGCCGCTGTCTCAGCATCATCAGGAAATAATGCTTCCATTTTTTTCTGCTTGCAGGCCCCGAGAAAGCAAATGACATAACTAATGATAAGGGGCCGAGTAATGGTCATGGCCGTGATTTACTTCCTATGCCTGATACTGATCAGGGCACCACGATACCTACCCCTATGCCTCAACATGTTCAGGGAACTACGCTTACTCGTACAGGTCGACAGAAAGCAACAAACAATGTGGTTAGAAATAAGCGTCCTAGACGTAAGCGTGATTCACATCCACCGCCTGCATCTCATCAAGGCCTTATGATGCCACACCTACCGAATGCAAACTCTCAGCCTCAGCGTGACCAGGGAATTAGGCTTCCTCCTCCTTTGCCTCAAAATGATGAGAGAAAGACGTTTCCTATTTCTACAGGGCCATATAAAGCTAACAATGGTGTGGTGTTGACTGACAACGGCCCAAGTAACAGCCTTGTGGTACCTTTCTGTCCCGAATATATTCTTGATGAGCCCAGCTTTGATTGGACCGTGGCCAACTCTTGGCTTCAAGATGGTACTATGCCTCCTTCTCGTCCTCAACATGGTCAGCATACTATCCTTCCTCTTACAGGCAACAACGCAAATGCTGATGAGGTTAGTGTTATGGGATTAACACTCAACCATCTCCGTGATGCGCAGGATCTTCCTTTTTCTGTTGAACTTCCTAAACTTCCATCGGTTCAAGCTTCACCCCGTGGTAGCCATGAAAATGAAGCAGCTGTAGCACCGAGATATGATGGGTGGCCGTTATATACTGCAGAAACTAGACTGCTACCATTTGATGGACCGTTTGAGTCGTTGACCGAAGAAGAATTGGCCTTCTTTGATAATCCTGATCCTGGATATCCAGAGGCATTTGAGAACAAGAAAGAGGCCAAGAAATGATTGAAAACGAAGAAACATGATATGGCACATTTTACTATTTCTAGTGGTTTTAGTTATTTTATACAAACTTCCAGTTCATGATTAGAGAAGGTATGAAGGCAGTAGATTAAGGTTTCAGGGCCAAATAATTGAAGAAGGTCATACCCAATTATTTCAATTTTTTTTAGCAATTACTATCTTTATCAAACAATCTATTAAGTACTAGTTTTTTTTTTTGGTTATTTTTTGTGCTTGGTTTTTCAGGTCATTGTTCTGATTATCGATACTGCCTTTTCCAGTTATTTTTCTGATTCTTAGGTTGATGGCACTGTCTTCGTGATGTATGTAGCTATTATTGTTCCATTGCCACTTTTTCATCTCCTTGTGCGAGGGTCTCTCGGAAACAGCCTCTCCACCTCGGGTAGGGGTAAGGTCTGCGTACACACTACCCTCCCTAGACCTCACATGTGGGATATCACTGGGTGGTGGTTGTTGGTTTTTATCATGTCATTAGAAAAAAACATTTGATGTCAATTAGATAATGAATAAAACCATTTTTTTGTCAGTTAGATTAATGAATAAAGTCCATGTTCCTTCTTGTATTTGATAGATAATAATGTGTATTTTCCAATCTCTCTACGTTTCTGAGATTAATAGTAGTTGAATCATGTATTTCTGTCTTGAAATTTATAAGCAAATATGCAATGGTGAATATAAACATGATTAATAATATAGTAATCTTGAATAGAATTAAGATAATGACAAATATTTTGGATCAATGTAATATAGAAATAGTGTCATATAAATGGAATTATTTAGTAGCAAAATTATTAAAAATAACAAGACAAAGTATAGTTAGCACCCTATTTACTGTAAATTCGAACAATATTTTATATTCTAATTATAAGAAATTGTACTTATTAATTTTACGTAGTTTTAAATTATTGAAATTTTACTTTAATAAAAATATTTAAAAATTAATTTCTGAATTGCAACTCGAGATGAAAAAGCTTGAGCTTCGCACTTCAAAACCTCATTCTTTGTTTAAACAGAGGGAATATATTCGATTCGTCTTATTTTAACTATCGTTTTAACTCAGAAAAATTATTCCAAAATAATTGTCACTTTAAGAATTCAAGACTAAATTTGCTATTTGTTTCCTACTATACCTTTATACCAAAAAAGTAGTATAGTTCTTTTTAATACTAGCTCAATTCTCAAAAAATATTTAATAGGAATAACTAAGTAAATTATGCCTTGTATTATTTTTCTTAACGAACGTGAAAATAGCTAAAGCGACAATTAAAATGGGACAAAGAGAGTATTGTTTAGTTTGTGGAATAATATTTTTCTCATAAATTTTTCAAAAATAGACATGTTTCCAATCATTTTCCCATATTTAGAGTTGGACTCTTTTATGCTAATATAATTAAACGATCTCAGAAATTTCAAGAACAAAATCATAATAAGACCTTATGTCTAAGAGTTTTCCTAATTTGCTTCCAATTCTAATTAGGAAATACTTTTACGTTTTCCTAATTTGCCTTTTTCAAATCTGTATAATTTCCTATTCGAATTAGGACATGCTTTAAATTATTTCCTAATTTGCCTTTTCAACTCCAAATAGTTCTCAATTCGAATTAGGAAATATTTTTAATTTGTTTTTAAAATTCCGAATAATTTAATATCTAATTTGAATTAGGAGAAACTTTGAAGTCTTCTTCATCTCTTTGTTTCATCTCTACACTTTCTCTATATATAATGCACGGTTATTTTCTTGCTCTAACTTACTACATCCTCTCAAAATTCTTTTTTCTGTATCTAAAGTTAGATATTTCACTATATATTATTCCTAAATTAACAAAAAGAAGAAAATAATGGCGACGAAAAGCGAGCGAAGAAAGTTTTCTTCATGTACAATAGGGACGAAATTTCAGCCCTATAATGATCAAGATCTCATAAGCTATCTACAAAAATTCGTTTGCGGAATGCCAATTGAGTCTGATCGTATTCGACATATAGACGTGTACGGTAACAAAAAGCCATGTGAATTATTCCAAGACTTATTAGGGGAGACGAGTACTGATCATGTAAACTATATCTTTACTCAGTTGAAGAAAAAATCTGACGGAGGTAAAAATTATAACAGGTCAATTACTGGAGGTGGATCATGGAAAGGACGAGACACGGGTAAACCGGTTCGCGATAAGGAAGGATCAGTGATTGGGTTGAAGAAAACTTTTCGTTTTGATGAAGAAAGTGACATTGGTAATAATCAAAGAATTGTGTGGAGTATGAAAGAATATTGTCTTAGCGACGCGAGACTAGAGGTGTTAAGACAACGTAGTCAAATCCGACACGAGGACTCAGTTCTGTGTAGCATTGAGAAGAAGGTTAATTTGTGTAAAAATTCTCAGGATATCTCAAGTTCTTCTTCAGCAACGATATATTGTGGGTGGTCGTTGTACACTGAACTAACTAAACTGCCACCATTTGATGGACCGTTTGAGTCGTTGACTGAAGAAGAATTGGCGTTCTTTGATAATCCTGATCCTGGATATTCACATGCTTATGAGAATATACAAGAGGAAAATAAATGATAGAAAGTGTTAGTTAACTGTTGTAGTGAAGGTAGTAAGTTAAAGTTTCACGGCTAAATATTTATAAAGACCTTTATACACAATTATATATTTCAATTTTTATAGTAAGTACACAATCTATTTTTTTTTTCAAGGAATATGTTAGTTTTTATTATTGTTTGTTGTTATTTTTGGTGCTCGATCTTTTTCTGATTTAATTATAAGGTATTTGAAGTCGACTAGCCCAACTAATTCGAATTAGTGTAGTGTCCAGTCTCTCTAGGTTTCTGGCTTTAGTAGTAATTGAAAGTTTGGTCATGAAATTCATAAGAAACAACAACAACGACGATCCAGTATAATCCCACAAATGGGGTCTGGGGAGGGTAATATGTACGCAGACCTTACCCCTACCCCGAAGGGTAGAGAGGCTGTTTACAGAAGACACTCGGCTAAAAAAAAAAAGCAACAGGAGCCGATATATTAGTACCATAAAAATGCATAATAAAATAACAGCAATATAAGAGATATGAAATACAGAATACGAAATAGATGGCTGGTATAGTAAAACTAGCAGGTAAAGCCCTGCATCAATAGATGACCAATGACATTCTTAGTCTAACTCCTAACTGGCTAGTCTCACTCTATTGTGCTGTAGAAATATTCACAAGTTTCCCCTAACCTACAACCTTAATGCTCGACCTCCATAATTCCCTGTCAAGGCCATGTCCTCCATAAATATAAACATGATGAGATTTTAGCATATGGAAAATATTTTAACTTCAAAGTTTTTCCTAATTTGGTCTTTAGCCTTAGAATATGTAAAACTTACATGAAGTTTTTTCTTCATTGTTCTTATAATCTGTCATTTTATTTCGAAAAATAAACAGAAAAATAAAAAATTATATTTTGAGATAATAAAACAGCCTATCACATAACTTCTCTTTCTTTTACAGAATGTGCGCGAAGACAGAGGCTATGAGATTAATTGAAGAAGAGAGTGTCATTCTTAAATACGTCGTGTAGGAAAAACTAAATAAGTATGTAAGTTTGATTTAAGGAAATTAAATCTTTGTAATTAGAAAATTTAAGGAGGAGAATTTCCTAATATTTTTATACAGGGAAGATAATCTACCAGCTTTTGATTAAGATGTTAATTTAACTTTTATATTATGTTAGCAATAGCGTATAAAAATATTGAAATAATAGTTAGAAAATTAAATTGACAGAAAAACGACATATATATATATATATATATATATATATGATTTAAATTGAATAAATTAATGGATCAAAGTTCTTGAATGATGTGAAAATAGTATTAAAAATAAGAATAATGCTAAATATTTTGAAATGTTATGCAATTGAAATAGTTTCATATAAATGGAGTGTTAAGTAGCGGCAATACATATCGCTAAAATTGAATTGAAGTCCTATTTATTGACGGTGTAAAAAATATTTACTGAATCACATCACTTATTAAGTAATTACATGTTAATTTTTTATAAGCTTAAAAATTTAATAAAATAATAATTGGCCTGCTATCACATGTTATAATTCATTGATAGTGTAAAAAATATTTTGCACTGACATTATATAGAACTTAAATTTCTAAAAGTTAATGACACAGTAAATTTACCACTATATTTGCTGTGAATTTCAATATAATTTTTTAATACATTTTTTTTTTTGTAATTTTTTCCCAGATTGAGAATTTTCCCTTTTCTCATATTTAATGTACCATATTGTATTTTTTGAATAATGATCGAGTAATTGTTGTAATAATATAACCCTAATGCCGCAAGTAGGAAATACTTTTAAGGTTTCTTGATTTTCTTTGTTTCCTAATTATTTCCCACGCTTTCTCTCTATATATAACAACGTATTCTCTTTCCCTCTTTCCACAGTCCTCTTACGCTCTCTTTTAGTATCTCTTCTTGCTTCTTTTCGCATTACTACTTCTTCTGTTCTTTTCGTTTAAACAGAAGAAGATGGAGCCGTCTTTTGATGATGAACATGTTATGAGCCATCTTTTGAAGTTTGTTTGTGGCATTCCTACGAGATGCCATCTTATTCGTCTTGTCGAATTGTATGCTAACAAAAAACCTTCTGAATTATTTCAACACTTGGAGGAGAAGAGTACTGATTATGTCTTTACGCAGTTAAAGAAAACATCAGCCCGTGGTAAGAACTACAAAAGGTCAATTGTTGGAGGTGGTGGTTCATGGAAAGTACTCGACAAGAGTAAACCTGTTTTCGACAAGAAAGGTTCTGTCATTGGTTTCAAGAAGAGTTTTCGTTTTGAGGATATTAATGATCATTGTTCGGATTCAAGAATTGTTTGGAGTATGAAAGAATATAGTCTTAGCGACACCATAGTGAAAATTTTAAGACAACGCCGTCAAATTCGTCACGAGGACTATGTTGTATGTCGCATTACGAAGACTGTGAATTTGTGTGCAAGTTCTCAGAATGTCCCTTTGGCCATTAGTGGGGAGAATTCTGTTGCCAATCTCATGTCCGAGGAGCCGCTAATGCTAGGTTATTTGAAAGATCAAAATTATGTCCCAAGTTGTTGTTTATCACAAGATCAAGAAAAGGCTTCTATAATTTCTTGGACTCCTTCCCCAGTTGATCAGTTTCAGTTTCAAGAAAATCAAGATTTTGAGTTGAGCAATTTTTGGAATGGGAACGAGTGCATAAGCTTAGATAGTTTACTCATAGAAGAATCAAATGCTGCTCCATTGATCCAATTGCCTCTAATCTCTACTGAAGAAGCAGAATGTTCAGCAGCTGTGGCACCTACATATACTGCATTGCCACCATTCAATGAACCGTTTGAGCCCTTAACTGAAGAAGATTTGGCCTTTTTTGATATTTTGTTTGTGCAAGCGCAGAAGGATCAAGAAACTGCCTCTGTTTGTGCCAATAATGATATTGCTTCTTACCACAATGAATTGGATGTCTATGCTGCAGAAATACTTAAACTTAATCCCCCATTGGTTCCTGACATTCCACAGTATTTGGAGGATGAATGCCCTCTTTTCTCTGAAGATTTTTATATTGGTCCTACTGCTTTGTGGAGTTAAGAATTCAAAATTTGATACAACTGAAGTTTCTAACAATATTCTTTGTCCAGATTATATGTTTTAGCTTTATCAGTCATTGTATTCTGTTTTCATTTGTTTTCACTTCCATTGTAATGATTCTTAGCTATTGACATTTATTCCTGATAAAATTTAAACTGTGTTAATGAATTTTCGAGTTCAATGTTTATGCCTAGAGAAAAAAAAGAAGAAGAGAAATACAAGTAGCTTGCTCGTTAAATAAGCAGTGACATTCTAATTAATCAATCGAACACTTTCTTGTGTGCCTATTTATTGCTCATTAGTGTTATTTTATGTGAAGGTACTTGACTGAACACTAATTTGAAAAAAAATAAAAATACTTTTGACACGTAAGTCAAATATATGCAAAGTACCAAAATTATCCTTCTAAATGGGTTTGTCGTGAGAGTTCCACGGGTCTTTTATTTTTGCGCTCTTTATAAAAGAATGAACTGTCATATCAAGTGAATCCAAATAAGTTATGTCATTAAAGGTAAAAAAAATACTCCTATTAAAATATAACTCTAAAAAATAGAAATACACAAAGGTTAAATAATTTAAAAAGAAAAATATAAATTGCTTTTGGATAAAATAAAAAACAAAATATATCATATATAAAAGAAGACGTNATTTCTACATTCCATCTATACATCTCCTCTTCTAGGGGAACTGGGATATTCAGAGTCAGCAATCCTGATTCACTGTTGTAGTCAAAGCCGGTGTTTTCACCATCCACCGAGCATTTCAGGGGTCGCTGTGAAATGTAAACGCCAAAGCGGCCACATCCCCTGACCTTCAGTAATACAGTTGCAGTTGGAGATTGGCTTTCGGCATCAAGGTGCTCGGGTTTCTTCTCAGAAGCTAGATGCACTTTGTACTGATCAATGGCACCACCACTGTTGATCATATCTAGCAGCCCAATTGGACCAAAAAAGATATTTGTTGCAATTTCCTACACACAAAAAAAAATGTTTAGTTAGCAAGGTCTTCTCTTTGTTCATAGTTTAATAAATTATGTTCAAGAAGCTAAGGAACAAAAGGTCAGCATGTTAATTAGTTACCTTGACTGGAGAAAAGTGGAATACTTCATATTCAAGAACTTTAAGTGTCACAGGCAGCGAAGCACCTTTCGGTAGGCGAACTACTTCCCCTGTAGATTAAATTATGAGACAGTTAAATCATAATCCAACATCACGGTCATACTTCTGCAAGATCAGAGCCACCTTTCTTTTGGTGGTTACGGGAAAAACTACGATAAGGAATTACTTTACCTGATCTAAAAGAATAGACTACAGAATCCCCATTCCAACCAGGGCCAGCCAGCTGAGCAATGGTGTCGACATCAGTGGCTTGGACAGAACTTGTAAGTGTTCCAGGAGATGCATTATGGATACGTGTCTTCTTTATGACCTTGCACCAGCCAGCACCTTGGCAGTTAAATACACCCACCACACCAGTGCATTTGTTCACATTCCATATTTTAAGCAAGCTGTACATAAAATACAAAGGTTAAGTTTCAGTGCTCATTTACAAGAATGATCACATTATAGCCTAGAGATTCTAGAGATACATCAGTTGCAAAATAGAATCAACCTTGTCCCGTCTCTAGCTGGATCAACAAATAGGCAATCACGAGTTGGCCGACCAGGCAATTGAGCCCGAAGCACTGATCCATCAGGAAGGACAAGCTTTTTCACAAGCTCAAAGTTGTGATTTCCGGGTTTGTCACTGAATAATAGAAACACGCCAGGTTAGACAACAGTTCCAACATTGAAGTTGAAATAAGCAATAAGGAAGAACAGGATACAGGAGGACAACTTATTACCTCACATAAATTGGTGATCCTCCAACTGCTCGAGCTGCAGCATGATATTCAGCAGTAGGGTGGAGACTCTGCAACGAACATCACAGTTGTTAATTTACCTAATTTTACATCTAATGCATTCATTATAAACTAATTTTAATTGATCATCATATGAAATCGTCAAACATAAACGATATATAAATGAAGGTAGAGTAAATACAAGATACTAACATGGAACATGTCCCAATCTGGTTGCATGAATTCTCCCAAGAACAGCGAGTTGTAGCAAACAGAGGATATATGGATGGTGTGAGAAGCTGGGTCACGAGGATAATAATCATCAGAAGCTCTAACTAGAGCAGTTTGCTTGGAACTGTAGAGCCCATCAGTGTTATGATTCATGCAGGCAATGCATCCATTGTCAGGAAAGTTTCGAGCAATGGATGCTTCTAGTGCCTGGACATAGCTTCTTGTTAAGGAAACTCTGCCACCATGACCAGCACCAAGTGTTTCAATGATGTTCTGGACATCGACCTTGACTCCATCAACCCCACAGGACGCCAGATAGGCATGTAGTTCATTATAGAAGTTAAAGACCTTTTTTGGGTGCACCAAACCCAAGCCATGAACGGCAAGACTGTCCATAACAATGTCAGGTTGGTTTCCCATCACTCCAGGGGACTGAACGGGGTATGCCAAAGCAGTTTCATAGTGCTCGAGCCCAGGACCAGCAGGTTGTACTCCACCCCAGTAACCAGCTAGGGCATGCCATACATACACATACCTGCATAGTAAACACATTGTTAAAATGACAAGTATCACTATGAGACATATCCTTTGAGGCAAGGAGGAAAAAATTTGAGTGTTGAGATGTACTTTGAATTCAACAGAACATTAAGTAATTCAATTACAAACCTAAAGGGTAGTGATATGTGTGCACAATTCTTCGACATTGTGTAAAATACAACAATCAAAAGTTGCAAACTTACTTGACATTGTGCTGTTTCTTGGCTTCCTCCACCACATGCTTCAGGCCTTTCGTTTGGAACTTCTTGTTTTCTTTAATTCCTGTAAGCCTGTTTGCAAACCTACAAAACGAACATCACAGATACCTATGTAAGAAGAGTCTATTTCTTGATAATAGTTGTAGCAACAGGATGATATCATAAATGAAATATTATTAACTAGATGTGCAAATAACAGTAAAATAATGACTACACATAGGAAGAAATCTTACTGTGCTCCTTCTTGAACTACACAATTAGTGTCCTTGGGTGCTTCATTACCAATCTGTTGCCAGCCATCATCAATGATCAAGAAACGTGGACGAACACCACCCTCAGATAAGCTGATGTAAAAAGCATTTCATAAATTAGTTCAACCCAAAAGACATTTCCAAACAAAAACAAAGAAACAGCCAAATAAAAAGTTAAGCAAGTTTTACCTTCTAAGGCCATCCTCAACCCCCTCTGCTGTGACATCAGTATAAAAGGCATCCCAAGTGCACCACCCGAACCAATCAATAATTGATGGCAACTGCATGAGACCAACAGAAGATATTAACAGGTCCCCTTCAGATAATGGTCCAACCAAGATTTCACCATTAAAAAACTAAGAAAGCAACTCTTTACCTTCTTCTTCTCTCTATGATGGAAAGTTTGCAAGTGCTGCTCAACAGCTCTGTTGACAAAGAGAGAGGAGCAAAACACATTATTATACAATCTAGAAATGGATTTACAAATGAATTGCAGTTACATTCTTGCTAGTTGATTATCAACTACATTATTCAACAATTACTCCACACTGCAGATACACTATAGTATTTGGTGATTTAAATCAGAAAGATCTCAGGAACTTAGAGCTTACTTCACAGCCTGGTTAATGACTTCAAAGGGATTGGTCCCAGCATTCATGTAGACAAGATAAAGACCTTGGTTGGTTTCAACAGCATTATCTCCTGCAAAAATAAATCAAACCGAAAGACAAAGGTCATATTGATGGTTTCTCATATACTATTACTTTGATGATCTACCGATTACCAGTAACTAAGTCAGCATTGACAATTATAGCATAGGTCCACCCCTAAAAGTTATGATAGCCTCATTTTGTGGAAATGAGGTATAGGACTTGCAAGCTTATCCTGAAGGATTTTTTTGCACAGCACTGTTCATTATGGGTGAAGAAACTTTGCTTAAAACGAGTAATGACATTTTGGTACTGAAGGATTTTCCAATGGCTAGAAGGAAACTCACCACTCTCAAGGCAAATCTCCATTTCGTTCTTCTCATTGCCTTGAAGAACAGCACGGAACTGTCCCTCAAGTAGAGGTAGGAAGACAGTGTAGATAGTTGGGGCATCTTCACGCTCACCCTCGGTGGTGTCTTTGCTCTCCACAAGCATGAATTGGGTCTCCAAAGGAATATCATTTCCACATGTCCCCATTCTCTGAGTCATCCACCACAGCTTGAAACGGAATAAACACATGAACCGAGTATCCCTGTAGCAATAGACAGCAAAGAACTATGATTTTTGTAAAATGAGTAGCATCTTCTAGATGTTCATATTCGTGTCTTCACTCTTTTGCAGCCCAATTCTCTATGATCTTCTGAAATATCATAAACATGTAATTCTTCTGCATGGAATTGATCAAAGTAACTTTCATCCACTAAACATGAAGTAAGAAATTTAACAATGTGAAGAAAAAATTTCACCACCAACGATGGACTTCATCACCATATGGACACTTACATCCCACCAATAATCAATTTGGACTCATAATAAAGCAGTAGAATCAGTGGCACAACAGCTTCAGCCAATTAGCAATCCACCAAGTCAAAATCCATACATCCAAATTTATGTTAAGTTCTTTTAAATTAGTTTACCATGGTTATAGCATGTTGAGAGAAGGCGAAAAATATAACTTATCTTCTTTTTACCAAATTATCTTGTTCAAACAAAAGATTGATGAACCTGACCAAGTAATTTATGCGCTCTTATACTCTCTAATAAATTAATTAGCAGTGGTCCTATGGACAACAGAGTTCAAAGAAATAGTCTCATTCTAAAAAATTTTAAGTCTTCCCTTTCCAGAAAGAGGCCATTAAATGAGCAAGCAGGACCTTGAAACGTTAGCTTCCTAAAACAAAATATCTAAAAGTCCACGGCGAGTAATTAGAGATAAACTCTGAGAACAATTAAATTGCTTACTCTAAAACCCCAATAGGGAACACATGCAAGCATTTGCTCTGTGAAGCTGTGGCTCCAATAAATGCACCAGTAACAAGCCCAACACCCGATCCAGGAGTCAAGATAATGTTGTCAGGCACTCCCCTCAGTATGGTCTTTCCATGGACAACAAGGTTGCCATCATTGATGGAGATCTTAGGTGTGACTGTCATCTTCTTGCGAGTAGGTGCTGTTTGACAAGAAACTGCAGAGAAAACAGCGACAAAAGCATTTTGTTAGCTCAAAAGTAATATTCACAATCTCTTAACTATTTATGGCCACTTCAATATTTACACGGAAATGAACTAAAGTATCTTTGCATGAATGCATTTCATTATGGTTACGGCGAAATACCCATAGAACTATGCCAGATCGGATTAGAGATTCTAGCACTACTACGCTAATATCATACAGTCTCATACTTAACAATTATGACAAATAATTAAAGATGATAACGAGATACAATACAAATTATTTGAGACAGACATAATGGCTGAAGTATGACTCTGTCTCCAGGATTTAAATTAATTTGCCTATTTGGTCACCATAATCACATTCATCTAGTTAAGTTATTCGCAAATATTGTTGTCCCTAAGAGATGTGAGTTTCATGCCCAAGCGGTCATACCCCCTTACTCCCACTGCTTAACCCCCACCCCACCCCACAAAAAAAAAAAAATTTAACACAAGCTAAAAGGGAGGATAGGGATTTGTTGACGAAACATTATCAGAACCAGATAAGCTCTTCGCGAACTTATACTTTTGTTAGCGGTTAGCAGAGAAGAATATTCACATCGAAAGACTGACAACACTAACCGTTTGCTAGGAGAGGAACAATGCGCTATCTTGATTCAAATCTTTAAAGCGAGTTTTCAACCAAACTTCAAATCTTGTATCACTCCACCTGGTCCTGTGAAATGAACTGCCATTCGAAAGGGATTTAGGGGTATATTCGTCAAATCGCTCTACTAAATTGTTGATTTGCGAAATTAATCAGAAAACTTGGTAAATTCAAAGCAAATCCAAAGACATACTTGTCAAAACTCAATAAAGTCCCAGGAAAAAGCTAAAAAGTTCAGCTAAATAGGAGGTGGCAATTTCTAAGGAAGATGAACAATTGGACGCACATGAAAAATCACATCTGGTACCTCTCAAATTCTTCCCCAAAAACAAAGCATGAATTAACGATTGATACACATGAGGTAACTCATAGAAGCTGAACGTACAACCATTTTCCAAAAGAAAAAAAAAAGAATTTCCTCTCAACAACAAAATTTTCACCGTTTTTCGTTCAAAAGTAACCAGACGGCTTTCTCATCAAGCACGTATAAGCATAACAATATACATTATAAGAAGAAGCAAAAACACCTGTAATCAAACTTTGATTCCAAAAAATTTAAAAACAAATCACTTAAACTTTCTTTTTAGATGAAACAGCTGACTCCAGGGGATCCACGCTTAAGGTACCGGTACCGAGTTCATACTTTCGACCTGGAATATATATTTATTCAATAAATTTGCTAACAAATAGTCGATATGAACTCATTAACTTTAATAATATAATGAATTCAACGCTAAAAACTTAAAAGTTGAATCCACAAAAATTTAAATCTCCACTGACACAATTCAATATTCCACGTTCTTAGCTCAAATTTTTTTTTCCAATACAACCAAAAAGGAGCTTGTAGAACTTCGAGAAAACTCACATTTGTGTGCAAGAATGTATTTACTACTCCAAAAGGGAATGCAAACTTACTTTGAGAGGGTAAAAGACGATTGCTACAATCAGAGATGATTGCTTTGCTTGTTAAACTTGTCAATCAATTATTAGAGTGGAGTTTGAATGATTGATTCCATTTCTGGCATTATATATATAGTCCAGGGAGATGTTAAAAGTCGAACGATTTTTCCAGAATCAACTATCCCCCAGATGACACGTAGATTCCAGACATTTGATATTTTCGACATTTTATTTCTTTAATAGTATAAAATATTGCATGTGAAGCTGTTTGTCCTTTTCCTTTCTTTTATTTTGTCTTATTTTACCAAAAGGGACAAGGTAAAGTGGCTTCTTGTTTTGTTGGGATATATACTGTCAATCATGTATTTAGATTATAGGTGTTTATGGGCGGGATGGGATGGGCTAAACGGAAAAATCCCAGATCGTTCGGTTAGCGAGCGGGTTGGTTAACGGGTTGGGAAAACGGGCTCTGGCGGGTTGGGAGATTTCGGATTTTTTAGGGCCCGTACGGGTTCCGGCTTAGCGGGTTCGGGCGGGCCGGGCTCCAGTTAATTTTTTTAAAATTAAATTTTATTTTTCTTATTCAATGTTATTGATAGTTAAGTATTTGCAAACTTTTAAGGGTTAGAATTAAATTTTGATGTTTAAAGTTTTAAATTTGAAATTTGTATTTTAAAATTATAAAATTGAAATTAGAAAGTAAGTAGCTACAAAAAATTAATTAATACGACCAGTAGGCAATATAAGAAACAAACTCCGAAAGCTTTCATTTATATTTTTAATACTTCAAATTAATTTGCAAGTTCTTTTTTGATCTTTTTATTTTTGAACTTGCAAATTAAAAGTTTACAATAATTATAAAAAATAAGAAATAGTACATCACATGCTTTGCATCATTTTTGTAAGTTCTTCCATGTCAACATGAGGTTCTTGGTTTCCGACATTGGTTGAATCGGAACCATAAACCATTATATCTCCAATTTCTTGGTCCTCCTCTTCGTCTACCTCGTCACGCCCTTGATTTCGCCGTTCTGGTCTTATCCAATCTCTAAAGCACACTAGAATTTCCAAAGCGTTGTTGCCCAATGAATGGCGGGTATCTCCTAGCTGCTGCCTTGCTTGGCTAAATGCGCTCTCTGATGCGACTGTTGAAATCGGCACATTTAGCACGTCTCGAGCCATGGCCGAAAGAACAGGAAATTGATTTGAGTTGTTCCTCCACCAACCCAGCGGTAGAAAATCCTTTGTGAGGGGCTCTGGTGACTTTTGCAAGTAGAATTGTAGTTCATCAATATTCTTGCTACTGGTTTGTTGATGCTCTCCTAGTATAGACCAAATCAGATAATCTTGAACACAAGCATCATCATCCATAGTTGTTCCAGATGTTGAAGGATTAAGTGAAGGAATGTTTGCATCTACAACCGAAAAAGCATCAACAATGTTAGCATAATAATTATATAAAGTTTGTAAATGTATGTGTAGCTCAGTAATACAAGTGTCAATATCAGGAGTTTCAGTTGGTCCAATATCCATATAAGTATATAAAGCTCTAATTAATTGGCGACACTTTATCATTTTGACAGTAGGGTTTAAAATAGCACTAATTAGGTAAATATAATGAATTGGGTAGAAATACTTTTTAAACTTATCTAGCATAGATTCAACAACAGTAGCATATCCTTCTTTCTGCTTCAAATTATGTAGTAAAAGAGAAATTTCAGCAATATGAACTAAACCATTTGAAATGGTCGGATAATAAGCTTCAGAAAACTCAAGTGTAGCCACATAAAATTTTTGTAAAAAATGTACAACATCATGAATGACTTCCCAAGTTCTAGATGTTAACAAACGGTTAGGATTGGTACAACGAGAATTAGCAACTTCAGTTATAGGCATTCTATATTTATAACAACATCTTGAGAACAAATAAGTATTATTCCACCTAGTAACTATTTCTTCAGGCATGAGTCTTGGTTTTAGTCCATAGTGTATACATTTTTCCTTAAATGCATTTAATCTAGCACTTCTATTATTTCCTTGAATTACACCAACAACTCTCCTAACTAAATTAATTTCATCTCTAAATAATTCAAGGTCACTCTTCACAATCAAGTTATAAATATGACATGAACATTTAACATGAAATATTTCAGGAAGTGGTAGGTGTAGATGCAGTTTTAATATTGTAATAACAACATTGTTGTTAGAAGCATTATCAAATGATATACACAAAACTTTTTCTGCAAGATTATAAAATATAACAACTTCATGTATAGTATTATTTATAAATGCACCAGTATGACTTTGATCTTCATCATATTTAAAAGAAATAATACGTTTTTGCATACAAAAATTATCATCTATCCAATGGCATGTAACAGTCAAATAATCATTTTCATTCACAGCACGACCAATATCAGAAGTAAGAGAAACTTTACAAGGAAGACTTGCGAACAAATAACGTATATATGTCTGATATTGTCCAAAAAGCCTAAAGATATCAGCTCTACAAGTACTTCTAGGAATACCTTTAAACATAGGGTTATAAATTCTTTGAATATAAGTAACCAGATACTATGAAGAAGCAAAACTAAAAGGTAAACAATCATTTTAGCTAATTCTTCCCGAGCTTTCTTAATATTGTATTTCCCGAAAAAAAAAAACCAGTACTTGGGTTAAGTTTTTGTTGCCTAGATGACTTATCTACTCCCCAATCAAGAGGGTGTTTCTCTTCCATATGCCTATGAAGTTGACCCGTTCACCCTCCTTTACCGGGCTCATATTTATAATGTTCACTACAAATTTTACATTTTACATAATTTTTTTGATCTTCTAGTCTTTCAAAAAACATCCAACACTTACTTCTTAATCGTCGATTCTTCTTAATAGGGAGAGGAGACCTACTTGTTGCACCCCTAACATTTTGAGTTTGACTAGCATTACCAGTTGTAGGTGGTGGTATTTCAAGATTATCGGGTGATTGAATATCATCTAACATATCTTCTAAATCATCATCTACACCAAAATTTTCTTGCATTCGCTCATAATCTACATTGAAATTTTCAGGTGAACTTTCAGAAATATGTGTAAAGTTAGTAGAAGAACCAACACCACCTCTTGGATGAAATTAGACTATTTATTTGTTTATGTCATTTATTTATGTAGTAGATGATTTAGTATATAATAGTTATCTTATGGAAGATTACATCATCGGTTCTTATAAGATATAAAGAATATGTTTACAATATGAGATGAAATTTGACAAGCCATTAGCCATCACAATGATTGAAGTACAAGATTAAATATAATTTATCTTGATTATAGAAATTGTATAATCGACTTCTTGTGCTAATACATTTTGTATGTATTGAACAGACCAAGTAAAAATACGTATTTTATTACAATAAATTCTATAGCCCATTAAATGTACTTATACTATTAACTTTGATATAATTATTATTATATGTATGTATTATTTATTATTTTAATTGATTAAAAGGCGAGGTTTTTGGGGGTCCATATGCTTGATAAATTGGATGATAGCAATATACATTGGCGAAATAATAGTTAGTTGAAGGAATTCATGTCTTGGTTTAAATATTGATGATAATACATCATTATGAAATCTTATAAGTTTTCATGTATAACCTACAAGAAAAAATTATATCTATCACATATAGATTAAGCGAAAGTCCAAATAAAAAATTAATAAATTAAATTGTTAGTAATTTAATTCAATTAAATAGTATCTGGATCTTAACATGGGAAGTTAACTAAGGTTAATGAAAAAAATCGAAATTGACCTAAGGAGTGTAATTACGAATTTTTATTGAAATAATTCATAATTTATTACGGTAAGACTAATTCAAATATTTCGAATTAATTATATGTTGCTTGCGGCTCACTCTGTACCTTGGTGAATGTCAACTTTCTTATCTCCTTGGCCATGGTGTCTAGTTGGGCTTGTACTAGTGTATTAGAATCCACCTGGTGACCCCAGCTGATTTTCGCCTGTCATTACTCTCAGCAGGCCACTGGTTAGCATCCTCAGACAATTCATCAAGGATTGAGACAACGTCCTCCGGAGTTTTCTTTATTAGTGGACCTCCACATGTAGTACTCATAGTTCATCGTGAGGAAGGTGTCAGTCCATCCCTGAAATCCCGGAGTTGCATCCACAAATCAATTTCGCTGTGCTGACACTATCTGACTATCTCCTTGAATCTTCTCCAAGCTTCGAGAACCATTTCTGTCTCCTTCTGGCAGAAATTGTGGATTTTCCTTCTGAATTTCTCTATTTTTGCAGTTGAGAAGTACTTGTCAAGAAATGTTTTAGTCATATCTTCACATGTCCTGATCGACCCTGTAGGTAAGCTATGAAGCCAGTGCTTCGCGTCATCCTTCAATGAAAGGGGGAATGCCCTTAAGTAGATCGCATCTTTTGATACTCTATTGTACTGGAAAGTATTCATGATTTTCTCAAAGTCCATTAAGTGAGTTTTAGGATCTTCATTCACCTTCCCTCTGAATATACAGTTGTTTTGGATGGTTTGAAGCAAGCCTTGCTTCAACTCGAAGTTGTTTGCTGATATGGGTGGAGGTATGAAACTTGACAGTCCCTGATTGTATACCGGCATGGCATAATCACCTAATGATCTCCCAGGACTTGGTGTTGTATTCTCAAACTGATCTTCAACTAATGGTCGGTTTAGATTGAATCTTTGACCCCCACCATCTTCGATAGTCTCCTCAGTAGCTCTAAGGGCTGCCTCATCTGTTATTCGTGCAACTTCTTGTTGTGCTGCCTCTCTTGCAGCTAAGTCTACTCCATCAATATCTTTATTTGCCATGTTATCTTGAGTCAAAGTATGACCCAAGAAATTTTCTATTAATTCTCTTTCTTTCCTCAGTTGTCGCAAATATTTTTCCAACTTTGGTTTGTAGGGTATCACTTCCTTTGAAGAAGATCGAGTCATACACCAAAGAAGTTAAACATGTATCTTGCACACAAGTGAGAAAATGTGAATACAACAAAGTAAAATTGGTTCCTCAATTAGTACTAAAAACTATTTTAAACACTATTGATTGCGAGTCCTCGGCAACAGTGCCA